AACCTCTTGCACTGCTGGTGGGAATGTAAACTGGTGCAGCCACTGTGAAAAACAGTATAAAATTTCCTCAAAAAGTTAAAAATAGAACTACCTTATGATCTGACAGTTGCATTTCTAGGTCTTTACACAAAGGATACAAAAATACAGATATGAAGGGGTACATCACCCCAACGTTTATAGAAGCATTATCAACAATAGCCAAATTATGGCAAGAGCCCAATTGTCCACTGACTGATAAATGGATAAAGGAGATGTGGTATATTCATACAATGAAATACAGCCATCAAAAAGAATGAAATCTTGCCTTTGCAACAATGTGGATGGAGCTAGAGTGTATTATGCTAAGCGAAATAAGTCAATGAGAGAAAGACAAATATCGTATGATTTCACTCATATGTGGGATTTAGGAAACAAAACAGTTGAACCCATGGGAAGAGGGGAAAAGGAGAGAGGGAAGCAAACCATAAAAGACTCTCAATAATAGAGAACAAACTGAAGGTTGATGGAGGGAGGTGGGATAAATGGGTTATGGGTATTAAGTAGGACACTTGTTATGATGAACACTGGGTGTTATATGGAAGTGATGACTCACTAAATTCTACTCCTGAAACCAATATTACATTACATATTAACTAGAACTTAAATAAAAATTTGGAAGAAGAAAATAAAAAGTAAAAGTTGAGGGGTGACTAGGTGGCTCAGTCGGTTAAGCATCCGACTTCAGCTCAGGTCATGATCTCATAGTTTGTGAGTTTGAGCCTGCATCAGGCTCTGTGCTGACAGTTCAGAGCCTAGAGCCTGCTTGGATTCTGTGTCTCCCTCTCTCTCTGCCCCTCTCCCACTTGCACTCTGTGTCTTTCTCTCAAAAAAATAATAAACATTAAGAAATTTAAAAAAATAAAATAAAAGTTGAGAGGAGAAAGAGAGAAAAAAATTAGTATTAGTTTACCTAATTAGGGAAAAAGAAATCACAAATACACACTATGAGAAATGATAGTGGAGAAATAACAATATATGTCGAGGAAATTAAATGAATCATAGGAGATCACTTTGCTCAAAACTTCATAAATATATTTTTCTTTTTTCAAAATTTCACAAATCTATATTTCCTTGAGAAAATGGATGATTTTTATGAAAATTACAAGGATTCATATATCTATATCTATGTATTGATAGACATATCAACATAAATACATATATAATCTAAAGAGAGAAAATATGATGAAAGAAATAGAGAAAGATGACAATGAGATTGCTTTCAAATTATGCACCATACCCAAATAAATTCACTGGAAAATGCTACAAAACCTTCAAGCACCAAATAACACCAAAACTATGCCAATTATTCCAGATGTATTTATTCTGTGAGGGGGGGGGGAATACTTTGAAGGTGAGCAAGTGCATTACATATTTAGTGTTGAAAATATTCTGAGAGCCTGACCAGATCATCCTGTGGAGGAGTAATCAGAAATATGTAGGAATGTATGAATCTATTCCACAGTAAAGGAGGTGCCACATTTTTTTCATGTCCAATGTACCCAGAGGATTTCTGTTCAGTGTGAGTTTTTTCATCCATAGTGAGATCTGACTTCTGGGAAGACCTTCCCACAATCAGTACTTATATGAAGTTTCTCTCCTATGTTGGTTCTGATGTCCAGTGAAGTGTATGTGCTGGCAGAACACCTTCCCACAGTCACTGCAGTTGGAGGGTTTCTCTGCTGTGTGTGTTCTCTGATATGTGATCATCTGTGAATTTCGGGAAAAGGCCATACCATATTCAGCAGATTCAGTGGGTTTCTCCCTAGTATGAGTTCTTTGATGTACAGCTAGTGGAGACGTCTCACATAAGGCCTTTCCAGATTCATTACGTTCATATGGTTTCTCTCCAGCATGAGCTCTCTGATGTATAATGAGATGTGACTTCAGGGAAAATGCCCTTCCACACTCAGTACACTCATAGGGTTTCTCCCCTGTATGAATTCTCTGATGAATAATGAGGGGTGATTTCTGGGAGAAGGTTTTGCCACAGTCACTACACTCATAGGGTTTCTCCCCTGTATGAATTCTTTGGTGTATAATAAGAGGTGATTTCTGAGAGAAGGCTCTTCCACACTCTGTACATATATAAGGTTTCTCTCCAGTGTGAAGCCTTTGATGTCCAGTAAGGTGGGACTTTTGGGAAAAGGCTTTTCCACAGTCATTACACACATAAGGTTTCTCTCCTGTATGAATTCTTTGATGCCCTATGAGGTGGGACTGCTGGCAAAAGGTTTTTCCACATTCACTACATTTATAGGGTTTCTCTCCAGTATGTGTTCTATAATGGATGATGAGTTGTGTTTTCCGAGGGAAGGTCTTCCCACATTCAGTACATTCATAGGGTCTCTCCCCAGTATGAGTTATCTGGTGTATAAAAAGGTGAGACTTCTCACAGAAGGCTTTCCCACATTCACTACATTCAAAGGGCTTCTCTCTAGTGTGAACTCGCTGATGTATAATGAGATGTGACTTCTGAGAGAAGGCTTTTTGACACTCAGAACATTCATAGGGTTTCTCTCCAGTGTGGACTCTTTGATGAACAATGAAGGGTGACTTCTGGGAGAAGGCTCTCCCACACTTAGTACACTCATAGGGCTTCTCCCCAGTATGAATCCTCTGATGCACAATGAGGTGTGATTTCTCACTGAAGGCTTTTCCACAATCTCCACATACATACGGTTTTTCTCCAGTATGAATTCTTTGATGTATAATAAGTTGTGACTTCTTAATAAAGCCTTTCCCACACTCACCACAAACATTGGGTTTCTTACCAGCTTGACCTTTTTTATACTGAATATGGACTTGTTTATGACTGAGAAATTTTTCACATTGACCATGTCCACAAGGTTTCATGCCAGTGTAAATTTTCTCAGGTACAGAACAGGAATCACTAAAGCTAGGTGGGCTCCTGCATCCAAATCTCTCAATGGGGTTCTTTCTTGTATGGCTCCTATTACATATCAGTGAGTCTAAATTAGATTCCAAGTTCTTTTCACATAAATCAAAATTATGGAGTTTTTTACTTGAAGGATCAAGGTTCATGCACCCACCAAAACTGTTTCCAAGTGTGTTATATTTGGGGCCTTTCTCCTTGGTCAATGTTTCATAGTTAATGACTGTGACTTGCTTCAAAACTCTGTCTTGGTTTCCCTGATATTTATGTGTCTGACCATCAATACGCCAAACTTTTAAAAGGTAGTACAATGAATTATCCTTTGGGGCTTTTTCCAATATCTCTTTTTGAAATGAAAGTTCTTCAGAAATGATCTGCTGGGAAGAGTCAAGGCTTTTCTCCCTGTCTGAAAGAAGAAAAAGATAAAATCAAATAGAAACCAAAAATAAAACAGCAATGAACAGAAGTGCTAAGAAGGTGCTCATGTGGGATGGATGTTATAAAGAAGGCCTGGTGAATTTTAAAGAATAAAAGAGGTCATTGATGTCAGAGAAGAAGAAAATACTCTCCCAGCCATCTATCCAATTCTCACTTACCTGAGTGGATCCACCTTGACAACTCACTCTTCATGATCCATGGGTCCTCTTCATGTTCCAACTTGAAGATTATACCTGGACTTATACCTGAACACCCTGTTAAGGGAAAATTATTCAGAAATTCATAAAGAGAAGAAGCAATCTCAGGGGCCTCCCAGGAAAGATGGATCCTTAACCAACAAAAATAAATTCCAGATATAACAAAAATATAAACATAAAAAAACTATAAAGACCCTATTAATGGAAAATCATAAAGGTCATGGTCTTGACAGTTTGAAGAATGGGGAGGACTTGATTCATTGTTATACAGAGAATTTGCCCTTACCCACAGAGACCAGATGGCTGTAGATCTCCAGCATCACATCTCTGTGTAGGATCTTCTGAGCAGGGTCCAGATGCTGCCACTCCTCCTGGGTGAAGTCCACAGCCACATCTTCATAGGTCACTAGTTCCTATAACAGCACATTATGTACAATCTGCTCATTCTGATCATTTTTACCACAGCAACACCTGTAGGATAACTACTTATCATTTTGTGTAGCATACTTAATGAGAAAAACTTTGTAAGTTCTGCCATTAGCAAGAATAGTTGGTGGAACAGAATAAAGAGTCTAAAACTAGATGTGCAATGGAATATTACTCAGCCACCAAAAAGAATGAAATCTTGGAGCACCCTGGGTGGCTCAGTCAGTGAAGCATCCGACTCTTGATTTTGGCTCAGGTCATGATCTCACAGTTCATGAGATTGAGCCTCGCTTTGGGCTCTGCATTGACAGCATGGAGCCTGCTTGGGGTTCTCTCTCTCCTTCTCTCTCTACCCCTCGCCTGCTCTCTCTCTCTCGCTTTCTCTCTGTCAAAATAAATAAATAAACATTAAAAGAGAATGAAATCTTGCCATTTCAACAACATGGATGGAGCTACAACGTGTTATGCTAAGCAAAATAAGTCAGTCAGAGAAAGACAAATACCATATGATTTGACTCATATGTGGAATTTAGGAAACAAGACAGATGAACATATGGGAAAGGAAAAAATGAGAACAGAGGGAAACAAACCACAAGAGACTCTTAACAATAGAGAAAAAACTGAGGGCTGATGGAGGGAAGTGGTTGGGAGAAGGGTTAGATAGGTGATGGGTATTAAGGAGGGCACTTGTTGTAATGAGCACTGGGTGTTGTGTGTAAGTGACGAATCACTGAATTCTACTCCTGAAACCAATATTGCACTCTATGTTAACTATAACTTAAATTTTAAAAAAAGAAAAAAGAAAAAGAAATAAACAAATGAATTTTGAAAGTAAATAAATGCAGAAAAGACAGATTGTTCAAAACTGGGTAGTTATCAGAAAAATGTAAAGTTAGACTCCTTATTTCATACTATACTCAAAAATAAATTTGACATATAACAAAAATTTAAACAAAGAAAATCAGAAGACATAAAAATAAAGACAGGAGAGATTCTAAAAATAATTTTAAAGTGGAGAAAACTCTTCTAAGTAGGCATGCTACAAGACCCAGATGTCACAAAGGAAAATACTGATAAATTTGATTACTTTATGTATTTCATAGCAAAATATACCATAAACAAATTCAAAGGACAAGCAACTACCTGAGGAGTATATATATGCACAACACATAAGATGGACAAAGAACAAATTTGCTCAATTTATAGAGCTCCTACAAAGCAAAAAGAAAATGACTAACAACTTAACCTTTTAAAAAATAATCAAAGGACATTACTGTCAATTCAGAGAAAATAAAATGCAAATGGCTTCTAAACATGTAAAATGGTGTTCAACTTCATTCACATGAAGAGAAATGCAAATTAAATCAAAATATCATGTTTTTCTTACATAATATCAAAGTTTAGAGTTTGATAAGTCACTAAGATGGTGAAGATGTAAAAAAAAAAGTAGCACTCAAATTGCGAGTATACACTGGTACAATATATTTTGAGAGCAATTAACTTACAATAATTTAACAATATCCATCAACATCTTATTTTTAATATAATTGATTGTCAAATTGGTTTCCATACAACATCCAGTGCTCATC